AGGGATGTTAATGTAGTAGGAAAGATGCCCCTTCTGAGTGTTAAACTTGGCCTGTGAATAATGGAAGTTTTCACACTTGCTCCATTGGCATGTGGGATAGATTTCCCCACCTCTGCACTTCAGCCTCCCTGCTGATAGGAGAAGGCTGCTGATAACAGCCTTTCAAAACATGATGACTGGAAGGATTCTGGAAAATGTGACTCAGAGCAAGTCGTGGTTATTAGGCCTATGTGTTTGAAGGGACAAGAGATGCTCCAGACTTCCCTCAGTGGATTGAGAGCCACTTACTCATGAAAATTAAGAGCTTACCTGTTCTCATTTCAGAGGTACATTAAGAGAAATACTGCTGTCCTTCCATCTTTGCAATCATGACTAGGGGAGGAGAGAGCCATGCACTTGATGATAAGCAAGTGGAGTTTCTACATCTCAAATCTTTAAAAACCTCAAAGCAAAAATCAGAATTTATTTTCACTGAAGTGTTCTCAAGGTCAGGAGATCTTCCACACAAAGCAGAATCTAAACAGATAATATGATTTGCATAAACCTGGAAAAATCCAAGCCAAATTCTGCAGGAATTTTTTTTTAACATTATCCTTCTTTTAGGCTTGAAAAATAAAAGCTAAGCCTTTGGAGTTTTTAACCCATGAAACAGGGACCTCTTTTCCACTTACAGAGTGTGGAAGATACAAATGTCACCATGAACCCAGCAACACTCACTCAAAATACTGCCACCACTGCAGACAACAGAGGATGCCACTATAAAGCCAGTAGTGGCTTCAGTACCCAGTGAACTCAAATCAAGAACATAAAGGCAAACAAATGTTTTTACTTCTGGCTCCAAGTACCTAATCAGTGCACATTGTCCCTTTAGACTTAATGAGTCATTTAATGCACAATCACCCACAACCCATTAGCAAACACCTTCAGGAGCCAAAAGGAGGGACAAGTCTAAACAGAGTTGGCAAGGCATTTGCCCACACAATCTTACCTCCTCCTTCACTAATGGGCTCCTCTTTCTCTTCCTTCTCTTCTCAAGGACAACATCAGGTGAGGGATGCTGCAGAAGGGATTAGCTCTCACTTCCATCTCTGAAGGCCAGGGCCCCTTCCAGGACAGTGCATCTCCTGGACAGCCACACAGACACATGCACTTGGGGTCTTAATTGCCTCCCAGACCCTACAGTCTCTCTGGCAGCTTGCTGTGACTCCTGTCCCTCCCTTTCTTCCTCGATTTTATTATGCTTTTTATTCTGCAAGTCACCCTGACCCCCCTTCCTCCAAATTAACGCTGTGTGTATTTGTCACCTGCACAACTAGAGGCTGTACCAGACCTGCTCACCTCTCCAAACTTCTCCAGGGTATAATAACCACACTGAAGCTTTGCTCTTTCTCTCTCCCCCTTCTCCCCCTCAGGAGCACGTTGCCAAAAAAGAATCTACGAATTCCAGCGAACTGTGGTACTCGACTGTCAGCCATGATGTGAAACACGAAATCTCTGTTGTTGACAGCAACAGTAAGACAGAATATGCACTCATCAGTGTGCCTGAGAAGAAGGCAAATGTCACCAGCACAGAAGAGCACAGTGAATATGATGATGTCCTGGTAACTTAGAAGGTATTCTTTTGCCTGAGTGTGTACAGCCATGATGACCATCCCACCTCTGCTGTTGACTCTTCAAACAAATATCTCTCTTGTTACCAAGCTTACATATTAGTCTACATCTACCAATCATTTACTGTGAGACAAACTTGTCCATGAACAGCTGATCAGAGAAAGAAACATGGACTGGGCACAGGACTTGACAATGACACCAGGGGAATCAGTAGCCACTGCCATCATATGACAATGTTCCTCTACAGAAAATTAGGAGCTACAGTATTTTAAGCAACTGAAGCTGTACATTTTTCTGGGCTTTTAGAATACTTCTTTTTTTTTTAAAGGGTCCTTAAAGAACTACTGCTATAAGTTTCAAAAATGCAATAATAAGAGAGTCTTTCTGTTTGTTTGGGGAATATTTCATGTTTAAAGGAAAGCATAAACCTTGTGTTAGATGCACTTGCTCTTGTCCAAAATTTCTCTGACATGCTTGATTTGTACCATTATACAATGCACAATTTTTATAAAGAGCTCATTTCTCAAATTCCTCCCTCCCCCTTCTACTGTAATACTACTTAGTGTGAAATCTTTAAGTTGGAATTAAATAAAAAGCCCCAAAACAATAAACTGCACACAAAACAAATATTACACCCACGAGAATACAGTTGATACTGATGCTTCCCAGGTGATAACCACCTCTCAGTGGCAGAAGTCCAGGTGCTGCTTCCATGACACAATGCTTCCACAGCTCAGTCCTTTTGGAGTCTCCAGTTTGTGGCCACACAAATGACACCTGCCATAGGATTTTAAAAGGCTGACTACACTCCACAAGCTGCTTTTTAACGATGTCTCAGTAGTCTCAGTCATTAAAGTATCCTCATTCCTTCTATGAAAATTAATATTGATCATTCACACAAAATATCTGAATTGATGTAATAATAGGGACACTGCTGTGTCCCTAATGGATTGAGTCATAATTAATTTGCTTTTTAATTTTCTTTTACATGGGCAATTTACCTCACAGAGATATAATCAGAAACCACTTATTTTTTTGACACTTCCTTCAATGAGAGTTCAAAACCTGACTGGATGCAGTCTGTAAAGTCAGACATTTTCTGTTGAATATCACATCTTGCCACAGCTCCACCTCCCTTTTCCTGTGAGGTTCTGGGGTAAAGATATGGACATAGAGGAGGATGGCTGGAAAAAAAAAGAATGCTTGACTCCTTTCTCAACTCTTAACGCCCATGTGGGTATCTCCATAAAGAAGTTTAATCATTACCTTATTTTTCAGTTCCTAGAATCAAGATACAGAAGTGTTCAAGGAAAGGATCAGGTGTCTTGGTGAGAGCAGTAAGGTTGAGCAGCATCTCAACAGCAATTTTTTTGCTGTTGGTACTTCCATAGCCTGCTGCTTTTGGGACAAGCCATTTAAACCATGAAGTTTATCCTTCCCCAGTGTAAAAATAAAAAGGAATCTCTCTTCTACCTCTATGCTGCATAGACTATTATAGCATGAGAAATTATAGTTCCTGTATCTTACAAACCAAGAGGGAATCAGAATAAACTGCAGACATGAGAGTCATACAAACTACTGATTTGGTCCAGAACATTTCCTAAGCTCAGTTTAAACACAAACAACAACAACAACTATGGGTTTGAGCATACAGCTCTGTCAGACATGCTTCACACAGCTCAGCATTTAGAATTCCAATGGCTATTTTCCAACTCACATGGCTGAAAGACTAGAGGTGCTAAAGAATGAAAACAGTCACCTTAAGAGTAAAAATAAATAATTTAATGCACAACAACATTGTCAGATTACTCCTTAAATAAACTAGTAATATTAGAAAGAGAAAAACAATTTTCCATTGCATATTTCTTATAATACAAAATGCTTCTTAAAATAAAAGTTCTATGCAACAGTACTAACATTTATAAAACTATAAAAAAATTACAAAATACACTTCACTCACATGGTAGTGAATATGTTCCATTCTGCATAAAGTTAATGCTTAATTTTTATGTTATAGGCAATTACTGTCTGTAACTGGCCTACATCTTCTGCTTCAGCACCTTCCTCTTTGCACTGATTCATCTCATCTGGTCTCTCATCAACAAGAGCAACTATTTACTGCCTTATTAAGGCAAATACCTTACATCTGTTCATTTTTGTCACCAGTGCTGGGCAGGAACTATAATTAAGGATGTAGACTAGTCTTCAGGTTTACAAAACCAGATCAAATATCTGTCTGTTCACTACTAGTAGTAGCTAACTGTAAAAGCACACCGATAATTCGACCCTTTAATATTCCTGTGACATTCAGCTGTGTTAGTGAACAAGATATGTATCTTCATGCTGTTGGTTTCTTCTTTCATATTTCACATTGAAGAAGAGAAAAACAGAAAAGAATACCTTATTCAAGGAGACTGTAGGAAGAATAAGGAAATTATGAGAGCTAAAGCATTCTTAAGCTAGTGCAAAGAATAAAAATATATATATATATATATATATATATATACTCATGTATACATATATATTTTTAGGTTTTCAGGCTGTTTTACAAGGAAAGAGCAACAAGTAAATGTGGCATATGAATTTTGGAGGGAAAAAATGACAGATATGAGTTTGAGTGGAAGTGAGCATTGAGGATGAAGCTGTACAGATAATTTTGCATAAGCCAAGAGAAAAAGAGAGGAGCCATGTGCAAGACTGCTTTTAAGGCTTATGCAGAGTATTCAGATTTAATCATAAGGCAAGACAAAGCAGAGCTTTCAAAGCCAACAGAGCATGCATCAAATACATGATTTTCTCAAGGGTGAAACGGATTATTGAGATATAGAAGAAGGAGGTTGTGGTGCTATAGCAATACAACACTGCCGTAAATATACCACATTTTTCATTTACAGTATTGCACCACAGGCAGTATTTCTAGGACAACAATTTTAGAAGCGTTTCTACCTAATGAATAGTTCCTGCCCTGGGATTGCTTATAGATAGGGAATCCCATCTCTTCTAGGTGGTGATGGAGATGAGGAATCTTTCCATAATTTCTGTGAAAGTTAAAACAGTACAATATTAATACCAAAATGAAACTTTAAATAGTTATTTCTACATATTCTTTCCTGTCTCCTTTTACACTACTTTTTCTAAGAATCCTGTCAATATATAAAGAAAAAAATGCTTCTGAAAATTGAAACTTATGAGTTGTTGATCTCTTGTCCCTTGGTAAACATCCCAAGAAAAACCAATATAAGCTAATTGGAAACCTTACCTACACTGCAATGGTGAATTGTTAGCCTAGGATTATTCTAAAAGCACATAGGTGTGACTCAGTAAATTGGCACTGGGGGGAGGCAGCTCCATGCATTGCTTTTAGTATAGATTTACAGCTCAAGGGACTTTTATATGGGCATTTCTATCAGGACAAATATAAATGCATTGGAATCACTACCTAGTTGCTGGTAGTCATTGGAATCACTGTCTAGAAAACCTGGAAGAATGAACATTTGTTTCCTTTAAAAAGTATTTTCGGTGCAAAATAAACTTTCCAAAAATTTACAGAAGGACAAAAATCAGAAGTATTTTTCATCCCTCGGATTAAAATTTGTTTTGCTAGCATTCAAAACCAAATGTACAATAAGGAGAAACATTTTAAATTATTTGTCTCTCCATTATGGTGCACATATATGCAAGGAGAAATTTTTTGTATAGATAAAATGCAATATTAGATCAGAAAAGTTTGGTTGGAGTCCACACCTAACCAGTCTCATTACTATTTCCTTTCTCATCAGAGGACCACACAGTGAGTCCCAGGTTTTAAGTTAAGCATATCAAGAGTTTCTGAAAGCTATTTTAAAAGAGTCTTAATACTGTTATGCAAATAATGTATACTAAGGAATCTCAATATCTTTCTAGAAGCATTTCCCTCTCTTCCCATAGATACTTCTGCTCTTTGTAAAGAAACAGTTTTTTAAATGTACAGTACTTACATGTGAGAGAAGTTGGATCGAGCTTTAACCTGTCACATTCAGATGTCTCAGGATTAAGAGTATCTTCATCATAAATATTTTGACGCAAAATGTTCCTTATAAAATCTGGATTCATATTGTTTTCCATGAATCCCTCTGTTGATGGTGGTACAGAAAACACTAGCTGATAAATTACAGTGGAGCTTTCATTACTGAAAAACAAAGTCAAGGATGAATTTTGAATTTCTTCAAGTTTCAACATTTCTTTTTTTTTTTTTTTTTTGAAAGACTGACTTTTCATATCGATGTTGGAATGAATTTTTTAAAACAAACCATTTCCCCAAGAAAAGCATTATGAAAGAAAACTCCTTTTTCAGAACAGGTCTTGAAACTGGGTACATATTTAAAGCCATTCAGGGACACATTTTCAAATGCACGAGGGGCAATTGGACACGTGCTCTAATGGGATGTGGTTTTCAGCACTGGTCCTTCACAAGGAGCTACTGATAAGAGGTGTTGTAAGAGGTGTTGCAATATCCTGTGCCTAGTTTCCCTAGGAACCTGTAGGAAGGTTTGTTTTCCTGCCAGCAGTACGTGGGACCATGCAGCTGTGCTCCTGACTCAGCTCTGGGGTGGATTACACAAACCAGTGAGCTGGAGACCATCTCTGGAGAGTCCATTTTTTTGTGGTCTACCAAAACTGACTACAATTCAACAGCTACCTTTTGTACTCAGAGAATTCAAAACATTTTCAAAAAATACTTGAACGGGGATAAATAAAAGGAATGAAAGAGAGGAAGACAGCAAGAGAGAGACATCAAAGAGGCAGAGAGAGTTATTAGCTGATATATGTGCAGAACTTCAGCTTTGTTCTTGATGGTTTAAATCATAATTAGTATCAGCAAGGCCAAGGAGCTACAGTTCACAGTAGGCTGGCAGGGCAAGGGAGCAAAGTACCCTCAAGACTGCCCCTTGCCACATTGCAACGTGGCTTTTCCTCTGGCACTGCTGTCTCAAAGGACCTGGGACTTTACAAACTACCTCTCTTGATTTTGTCCTGTCTAATTTCTTTTTTAAAAGTTCTTTTTCAGAAGTCCTTGGGAAAGCTCTCTGTCTTCCTTTGCCTTCCTGCTATTTCTTCATGACAGGAGACTTGTATATTCCTCTTGCCTTTATTTCTTTTGGGAACAAAATTATTCTCTCCTCCCCATGAACCCGGTTTTATTTATTTAAGATTATTTAAACTACATCAATCTTAAGCATCTCCAGCAATTAATTTTACTTTTAATAAATATCTTTGAATATGTTTATTAAGGGCTGCAATTGGAACCAAAGGCAACAGAGATGATACTTCACAGCACCAATATGTTCTTGTCATTACATAATTTTAGCAGCATTTGCCATTTACACCAAATGATCCTGTGACCAGTTTTCACTGCCTATACACATAATTTTCCCCAAACAACCTATTTTTCACAGATTTAAATATTGTACGTACTTACATATGCACATGTGTGTCTCATCAAAAGCCTGTAATTTTCAGATAACTTTGGTGACAGAAATTGCTTACCTGAAAGAAATCACCTGAGCTGACCTAAAGTATCGTCCTAAAGCTGGAGATGAGCTGTAGACCTCTGTTAGCTGAGAGAGAGAGAAAAATATGTTTCTTCTACTCAATCTCCCCAAAAAAAACCAAAAAAAAAAAGCATAGCAAATCATTCTTTCAAAGTGCTTTAAGGAGCACAAAAACAGGTGCTGAAGGTCAAATAACAGGAAATATCTGCCCTGGAAAAGGTAGAGAGTAATTTAAATTTGACAGATAAGTTAATTGTGCATTTAAGTGATTGCTATGTGACCTTAACACAATGGAGGCACTCAAGGTGAACTAAAAGCATGTGCTCATATTCCCATGTGAAACTAATGTTAGGTTTGGGATCTAATTAGTACCAAAAGGCTCTTCTAACTCTTACTTTGTGGGGGAAGGGTCTCTGTCCTGAAATTGCCTTCCCACCATGTCCAAATGATCCCTGCCATGTATGCTGAGCATATTTCAGCTGTAACTCAGAGCTGTTCTGGCTCAGCAGAAATCACAGCTATAAACCCAGGCTGTAATCATGTGCTCATAAGAGTACATAGGATGTATTCATACGTACTGCAAGTACATATGCAGCACATAGGATTTTTAGCCTATATTATGCTTAGATGGCTTTCACAGGCCTCTCCTAAATTATTCAGTGATTCTACAAAAAAGGTGAAGAGAGCGTCTTAACAAATGGTCAAATTTATGGGAAAAAATCAATACTTTCTTGTGCCTAAAAGCAGACAATTATTTTTTTTTTCTAAATTGCAACTTTAAAAAGTACAACAGATTTTATTTGTGGACTTGCAAATGACTGAGTTGCTACGCAGAGAAACAGAAACTTCTTAAAAGGCAAAACATTGAATCTGTGTTCTAAACAGAATCAACTTTACCAAGAATCACGTAAACACTTACCCTCTTAGTAACATCCTTGGAGGAGAAGTGTGGAAGACTACACATTAACTCCACTGTTCCTGAAAAATTGTGAAAATTTCCATTGCTTAGTAATTCTTCAGGATCCCAGTAGTCATCCTCATCTGTGTAAACATCTAATAATCAAAAGGAGATGGAAAGGGGAGAAAAAAGGTTCAGATAGCTGAAGTATTGAAAAACAACCCTCTTGGCTTTCTCATGGATTACTTAGGTAAGGACTGACTGGGAAAGACAGAAAGAAAGTGCAAATCATCTGAAAAAAGTGACATCACCTGGAGGTCAGTCACCCACCTCCATTAGCAAAAGCCATCTGCTCTGGGAGTCTGACAGACAATGACACCATGGGACCTAAGTCATCCATGGCACTCATCCCAACATTACAAACATCATTTCCATCCTCATATCCAAATCTCTTCTTGTGATATTTTCTCACTTAGCTACAAAATTGAATTGCCACCTGATCAGGATACAAGTTCCTTGCTGCCTGCTAGGATAAAAGCATTCACAACAACTCCTGAACTACAGTACCACCCTCTGCAGTCAGTGTCCTAATTCCTTCAGCAGTTTACTGAAGAACATTAAGGATGTTATTGTTGCATTTGTGTTCAATTAGATTATACATATAGCATGTTTGTATTACTGTAACCAAGAGCGAGATACTTACTAGAATAAAGAATTAGACTGATGAGAATGACCAGGATGATCACTAGAAATATCGTAGATATAAGCATCCATAGTTTACACTTCCAGAAAACTACATTCCTGCATGATTTCCAGGGATCTCTCTCCTAGGTATAAAAGAGAAGGGCATATTGATTAATCAAATAAGGCAGGAAAAAAACCCCATTGAAGCATGTCTACTGTCAAATTTAGCAACAAAAATCCCACAAAGATGGGAGAGCCTATATCAGGCGTCCCAACCTTGACTACTGCTGCAGGAGAAAATGCAGACCTAGAGAAGGTAAAGGATATTCACTTGAGAGAGATCATTCCCCTTTATACAGAATTTCCAACTTCTGAAAGGCTGATAAAGCTAAAGTACTGCAAAGGTGATTTCCTGGCTCCACTTTTTTTAATTTTTTTTAACTATGTGAGTTAAATTTGGATATTTCACAAGCTCTCATTATAATGTCTGTTATCTCTCCCAACTAAAAGGGTGTCTCTGGAGATATTTCCAAAATCATTCATCTCTGCAGCATTGATGATGTCAACCTGCATAGCTTCTGGGTGCCAGCATCCAATGCAGAGGCAATGCTATTTGATAGATACTATTGTGTTAAACCCCCAGTAAAAATAATTGAAACTTTTATAGCTGACTTACTTTTTCTTCAGAAGACTGGAAACTTGAAGGTATTAAACAGAGGGTTTAATGCAAATCTCACCTGTTCTGTGAGGTCAAAAGAGAACTGCACTCAAAGCAATTGTGCATGTATGTACATTCTTATGGGAGAGAAAGGGCAATACCTTGCCTGTGATTTCATTTTTAATAAGACTGAAAACCGTGACAGAAATTAGTCTTTTAATAAGATAAAACAACAAGAAAAAAAAAAAAAAAAAAAAACAAGGGGGGGGGGGGAGAAGAAACAAACTTAGGTGATGGCAAAACAGTCAGAAGAATCAGAAGATTGAAGCAAGGCTTGAATTCATAAGCAAACCATGCTGTCTTTTTAATTACATCCACCATGAAGGTAGTAGTAAACTCTATGTCCTTTTTGTCATCAGTACCAGGTGAGGAAGAGCACGTGCTGTAGGTTATCTGGGCCACACACGTGCAGACTGGCAGGAACCAGCTGCTGCTGGAGGCACTAATCCACGTTTCCTTCCTTTACTTTTTGAACTTTCTAAGAACACAGAGTAAGAGAGAGGCTTTCACTGAATTTAACTGAATCGAGCAGCTGGCTAAAAGCTTTTATGTGGGTGGCAGGGGAAGAGGGAGAGAAAACAGACACACAGAGAAAGAGTTTACAAGAGAGATTCCTCCAGGAGCACAGGCAGAAAAGGTTTCTTTAGACACCTCTGCACAAAGAATTTTGCTCTGCTGGAGAATGAAAGGCAAACACTGAATATGGTTTTGTTTACAGCATGCTTTCAGCTGTGATCACACTTTTTTTTTTTTAATTTGATTTTTAAAATATTTCAGAAGTATGATTTTCAAATTAGTACTTTACACTAACATAATTTTGTATCTAAAATATTTTTAAAAGCCAGTAACTACTGGCTAGAGTGCAACCATGAAGTCAGCCATAGCCTCATCAGTTGAGACAGGCAGATGTCAAGCTCAAGTTTTGATTGAGCCACCACATGTTTAGACTATCCCAAAACACAGCTCTTAATCACACATAGCAAACTGGCTTGATCCCAAGAAAACATTCAGCTCCACAACTAGTCCAACACCTTCCCAACTTCGCCCATGGGCCGTGGGGAAGCAACAGCAGCTGAGGAAGTGTCCCAGTGGGCAGGGCAGCTCTGATGAGCAGAAAGGCAGAGCATGGTGAATTCCAGCAGTCTGTGCAGGATGGGAAGACACTTGCTGTAACCAGCATAAAGAGAGCTCAGATGAAAACTCAGTTCTGCCAAGGCAAAGTGATGCTGTTGAGGCAGAACAGGAATGAAAAGACTGACTCCAAAGGCTGCTGAGAGTAAAAAATCCAATTTTATGCAAAATACATCACTCTTTATACAGAACTTTGTGCAGACCAACTCCATTGGTCCTGGAGTGAAAACAACACCACCATTGGTGCAGAGTGCTTGATGCACAGTGATAGAACTTAACTATAAACAGTAATGCCACACAAATGCTCCTGCAGTAATGCCACACAAATATTCCTGCAATAATGCCACACAAATATTCCTGCAGTAGTGCCACACAAATGCTCCTGCAGTAATGCCACACAAATACTCCTGCAGTAATGCCACACAAATGCTCCTGCAGTAACTCGTACAACAGCCACGTGTGAATATGATGTTCCTCTGCTGGAATTATTCTGTTCCTGTCACTTTAAACTAGAGACTAGGAGCTCCCTCCCGTAGGATTCACGTGCTGATCTTAACTGAGGTTTTGGAGCATTCTATTGATAAAAATTCATACTTGTTAAGGACTGAAAATTACTCAGAGATAAAGAGAATCCAGTATGCTCTGTTCGAGGACATCTTATTTTTGTTTGGCAGCACTGTTTCCTGGTTAATTTCTACTAAAAGAAAGCCCAGTTTTAAAACTTATTTCAACTTTTTTTCTGGTTTTGAGACCAATCCCACCGATAGCACATTAGAAAAGAAAACAAAACTCTGAGAACCAATTGCAGTTTCACTTCCTAAATTAAAGTTTAAAACCCCACACTCATATGAGAACACTTCATTGATAAGAAAAAAAAATACATATAATGGTATTTTAGTCTCTTTCCCTCTATCTCAAACAAAAAATTAAATCACCCCTACAAAATGTTCCTTTAAATGTAATTTCTCTTGCTGTGTAGTATTTGGGAAATACATCTCCCACCAGGAGGATCAAATGACCAAACGAAATTCCTACCTTTCTCGTTTGAGCATTTAGAGGCTTGTCACGATCAGTCTCGCTTTCCTCCACATTTTGTTCTTGTAATTCAATAATTTCATGCTCCTGAGCAGAGTTCTGCCTTTTCATTGCTTCTGTCTCTGAAGAGGGTCCTCTGCGAAGACCTCTGTCTCTGAAGTGAGCACGGAGCCAACTCATTTCCTCCTTGTTTCAGCTGCAATTATGGTCAGTAGTAGCTCTGACACGAGGCTGGAAACAGGAAGCGTGGGGGATAGTTTTCATAGGAGAGGTCTCTAAGTACTGTTAAAGTAGGGGAATTCCTTGGAAGAATAATTAAAGTCAGCTGCCCTAGCTGCAGAGAAAGGGAAGGCGGAGGAAGTATCGATTTGCATAGCCGTGAGAACTCTGACTCTCAGCTATGCAATACTAGGTTTTCCAGTTTGCCTACCTGCCTGTACCAGCCCTTGACAAGCAAGTGACTAAACCTTCAGCAACGCTGGGACAACTTTGAAAGGAGCCAGAGTGTTTTCTCTGCTGCTGTCAGCCAAAACAGTAAAATGTTATTATTGTTATCTGTTCAGCTGAACAGATGTGGTGCTGAACAGCACGAACGGAGGAGAAGTTCATACAGCATGCTGTTTGCTTGGGCTGGGACTCTGTCAGCACTTGTAATTCTAGTCTCCCTCTATAGTCAATAAAAAAAATGAACACTACCTACCTTTGTGCTGTAAATTGTTCTCCCTCTAGGTATTATACTGTCTAAAATCATATCTAGTATTAAAGAACCATTTATGTCCTTTAACATATTATCCAACCTAAACCTGAGAAGCTGCTTTCAGGTAAAAAACCCCCAAAGGACATAGATAAACAGAAGAGAAAGATGGCCTTAGTTTCAATCTGTGCTCTACAGGACACGAAACAACCATGGTGATTTGGTCTGCACTAGCTTCCCACACAAACTCTCAGGTACACTTGGAATCACTCACAACTGCTTACTGTAGCCAGGGGCTGATTATGAACCCAGCCTCCTCAATACCCTTGATCCTACCCCCTCTTATTTCTCCTATTCACACTCCATCCCCATGTTTCTCTGTCCTTCCCACAGAGCATCTCTCTCCCCTCTGATTCAAAAGGTCTGCACAGACAACAGGTCTTCCTCACTCTTTTGTCCCAGCACAGGGAGTATCATGCATTAGGAACCAAACACAGCCTCTCTCCCCAACCTCTTTTCCTGCTGCCACTCACAGCACCACTCCTTTTTCCTGCCAAAAACTCAGGGTCCTCTCCCCTCGCCCCAACCACTCCAGTTCTCTCTTTGTGCCACTCACCTTGGTTCTGCTGCCTGCAGCACACCCAGGGTTTGCATTCCTGATGTCACATCACACCCATCCAGGCAAAGGCACTCCATGAAAGTGAGCATGTCTTGGGTTTATTCCACAAGTAAAAATAAATACACATTGTATACATCACACCTTTTGGCTCTGAGAATCTTTAAAACTCTGGAGGACTGAAGGTGAAACTGAGCAGTCATCAAGATCAGAACATGTATCTGGATCCACAAAATCTTACACTAGAAAAGCTTTTATCTGGTTCTCACTACTCCTGCTGAATATCAGGTTCATTTATTTAATTTCTACTCACAATAGACCTTTCTACTAGATTTTATGAAACAAAAACTGTTCCTCTAAGACAAAGAGTTAATGATTACACAGATCTCACCATGCTAAGGCCAAAGTCCTTATTTTATTTTATATATTTATGAAGAAGCTGCTGAAAAAGGCTTTCTTTCATCTGGGGGATCTAACTTCCACACTTGGTGCATTTCTTCCATGTGAAATTCTGACCCTTCAACTTTACAAAAACAGGAAAGTCCAAGGCACCAATGCAATTCTGATTAAACCTGGACTTTAGAGTTTCAGAGGCACATCCAAACAAGTAAAACATAGCCCCTTGCAGTTTAGCAGATGTTTATTAAAAAGGAAGATGTGAATAACTGAGTAGCCACTAAAGAAAAAACCCTGCTAACATACAGGCTTTGAATACAGCTTGTGCTGTAAGTTTGACACAAGCTGGGGCAAGATGCCCAACAGGAGAGAGGAAGGAAAAGCAATAGCATTGTTAAAAAGAGAAATCTCACTGCATGCAGATTACAGTGCTGGCTCTTCTCTTTTCTTTTTTTGTTTTCCCCACATGGTGCCAAAGGTTAAACAAAGGTTAAACAAAGGTCACGTACATACTGCAGAGTGAGCGTGCTCTGTGGACAGCAAGAAAAGGTGTACAAACTGCCAGCTTATTTTTAAAATATTTATATTAAAGGTGAAAGCTAAACATTTCCAAATACTGAGCACAGCTTAAAGACCATCTAAATGGTCTTTAGGCCATCTAGACAATTATTTTATTAAACTAAGTACTGGTATTCTGAAGTCACATAAAAAGCTTTGGAAACCTTAAATTGCCTGGATTTAGAGAAATAAATTCACCAAGAGATTAAAATGATAAAACCTAGATTTACTACCAGGGTTAAAGGAATGTTGCTGTCATTTCTTATTTTGCTTTCCTTGAGCCCAAGGATGCATCCAACCACATAAATCCATTTTCCTTCTATGTCCACTTCAGTGTAGTGTGGCCTTGTGGGCACAGCCTAGAAAGATACCCAAAAAAAATTATTTCCTGAGCCTGAAACTCTGCTTACTGTGGACCAAGGAACAGATGAAAACCAATCCTAACCTACCAGGAACATGCTAAAACGTCACAGTGGATACCAGAGCCAGAGCTGGAGAAATACACCTGTAACATATTGCAAATATTAAACCCTACAGTTAGTTAAAATTCTAAAGAGAATTTAAGAAAGAATTATAGTTTCCTTTTGTTTAATGAATTACAACTCTTTCATTCCTTCCTTTTATTTAGACATCATCCCAAAGAACCTAAATTATACTCATCCGGTTATTTAATGAAAATTTCTTGCATCCTAGCAGTTTTGAACTATATATCTGGTATTTTTAAGAAAACATGTAGAGACTCCAAAAGTTACAGCCAAGAAAGTAAAAGTTATGCAGTCACACATAGCTATAAAGAATTAATCTCAGCTTTGTACACAATACACTATTATATTTTCAAGAACTATGAAATAATTATTTATGTTTATAATCCTGTAACATCCCTAAAGAGTTGAATATATATGGCATGTGGCCATTTTTATCCAGATATGCATATGTGGAAACAAATATAGATAACAAGGGACAAGGAAGGAGAGGAGAAGTGTTGCGAATGAGCTATGGCTGGATTTTTGCTGCAGGTTATAATCCATTTTATTTTGTTTTTAAGGCAGTGCTGTTTCTGCAAATAGACATAAGGAAGATGAATCCATAAGGAATCTGAAGTTCCTCTGAGGCTGAACAGTTATTGCTAGATGAACCACAAATGATAGTTTCTTCATTAAAAAAGCATATTCTTTCACCACGGAAAAGCCAATGGCATTTTCGTGTTGGATCATCAGATTGACTACAGTAGGAAGCAGCTTTCACAAAGAAGGGATCTGCATTTTCTCCTTGGCTCATCAGTTTGTGTTCTGACGGATCCAGTCATAAAGAGCTGCCACCTTGGTGTACACACCGGGACGATTGCGCCGAGCACAGCCTTCGCCCCAGCTCACGATGCCAGCAAGGTACCACCTATTGCCTTTCCCTGTGCAGGCCAAGGGGCCTCCAGAATCTCCCTAAAATGAAGGAAGTCCAGCCATTAGTGCACACACACAGAGCACCGTAACACAAAACCAGGTGATTTAAGAACAGGAAGTACCTGCCCCTCTTTTTCTCAAATTAAAATTTAATATAAATTAAAACTTACTTCTGATATAATGTACCCAGCCAGATGTCATATTTATTAAATTATTTTAGCTTATGGGTGTAGTGCACTTATCAATATAAAGCCAATGGCAAGAAGCAGTTTATAATATTACTCTTTGATAATGTCCCATTACAGGATTCACAGAATAACTCACCAGCCCAAACAGGGAGAGAAGATGACAGGGATGGAAATAAGGAATTCCACTACAATTTGAAATCTACTATAAGGCATATCTCTTCTATTGTGTGTTAAATAGAAACAGAAAGATACCACACACCCCAAATCAAAAAAAGCCAACAAACCAGGGACAATTAAGTATTATCAGCAGTTTTATAATCAAGACTGAGTCTACAGTAGACTACTTTGTAGAAGCAGAAGAAGGAAAAAAGACTAAACAATGTGCAAATAAGAACTGGCTTCTCAAACAGAACATGCAGGTTTGCTCAGCAATGCAGAATAATAAAAATTCCCATTCAATTCCATTCGGTGGATCAAAGTGCATTTGGGCTTATCAATGGTTTTTTTGCCTTTGATTACTTTAATCTTCTGTGAGCTAGTCTGTTGACAGAGCTCTGGGCAACTACTCTGCAGCTGTTCCTAATGCACACAAGGCAGTCAGCAGCCCCCAAATTGACCCTGGGGTTGTTTGAGCCCCCAGCTGCAGCCAAAACATGTAAGAGGTCAGAGAAAGCCACGTACTGAGAAAAGAGTAATAAACAGAAAACCTTAATCGCCCAACCAAATAAAATTATCTATTATGGTGGTACAAAATTATCTTCAGATAAGAGAAGAAGCCAGAGATCTTCCTTTCTCTCTGGCTGCTGTCATACTAGAAATAATAATAATAATAAATAATAATAATCCAGAAGACTGATGTCAAAGTGACTTGAGAAAGGAGGCTGTGTAGTCCAGCCAATTACTCAGCCAGTTCTGAAAGACCAAAGGGGTTGTACACCAGTGGGGAGAGGAAGGATCCTAAACAGAGGGACCAAGATCAAAGAACATCCTAGAGTGATATGAAAACAGTTGGAAAGGGTAATTTTTTTCTTTCTCATGTATCAGGTCCTCTAAAGATGAAAGGTATTTGGAAGCTTCACAGAACTTGTGCAACATATCCAGGAAGGAGTAAAACAGAACAGGACCCTTACAAGTCTGAAAGCATGTAAAGGGGGTTTAGGGTGCTGTGAGGCTTTCCTGAACTCCCAGTGTCATTCCTCTCTAGCACTGTACATGAAACACATTCTATATGTTACATCATATATATACTAATGATACATTGCATAATATAGATACTAGCGACAGAAAGGACAGATGCTACCCAAACTAAGAAATTAAAGACCCAAAGGGCCAACATGCTAGAACTCAGACACAGTGTATCATGCTGGAAATTGGCCAGTATGATATAGAGCTGAATTGGTTAAAAATTCCCATCTGAAAATTCAAGGGCATTACTTAAGCAACACATTTTTTTGGAGGAACACCACCCCTCTAACATATTTTAGCAAAACAATTCCAAGGGCAAAGTTTGCAGACAAACTCTACAGAATAATAATAATAAAAATAAGAATTAATTTAATTAGGTCCTGGACACTGCAAGAAAATTCTACAAATAGTCTACTCTGTTAAAGAAATTTGACCCATCATGAATTACAATCCTGAAAAGTTATCCTATTGCATTAAAATAATAAAATATTACAGAAAAATTGTACCAAATTGCCTCTAATTTGGTCTAATATTCAGTAACAAAATTCTATCCCCTTTACATGGTATCTGATACTAAAAACATGTTTGTAAAGTTGATATTCATCATCAGAAGTTTGAACACCAATGAAGTACACAACTAGTGTACGAGGAAAAAGATGGCAGAGTCAGGACAGGTGAAGAATGTCCAAAAAGCAGTTTCTGATTGTGTGTGTAAACCAGCTGGGGTTTATAATTTACACTACTACTACTACACTGTGATGTAGTCACAACTTGTAATTATACACATGAATAAATGTTTGAAATTAAAAAGCACCATTGCAGCTGCAGTTCCAAAAGCTTTTCCTTTCATATTTCTTTGCAACTGTAACAATACATTACTTATCATACTTTTAGAGTATTTTAGCAATTCCACACTCAGATATTAAAAAATGATTAAAGGAAATTAATACAAATAGAATAATTCACAGGTGGACCTTTTATCGCAGATGATAACTTTTGTCTTTATATTTTTGTTCTCTTGTATGAAATATAAGTGTTGAAGATGAAAAAGAATTCTTGACATGTTTTACCCCTTGCATTTGCAAAATTATACTGAGAGAGTTTATGATGAATTTTATTCCTTATTTTGATGGGCTTTTAGTTGCCATGTTAAATTAACCATAAACTCACACTCAATTAAAAAAAAACTGAACCCAAAAACTAAACAACAAAAAAAAAAAGAAAAAAAAACCTTAATCCACCACACAAAGAACCTAAAACTCTGAAGAGTTTTCCAGTGAAAGCAAACATTCCTTTGTAGTTTTGACACCCATTCCAGATTACCTGGCATGCATCAACACCACCATCAAGGTTCCCAGCACACAGCATACGTGAAGTAATGAGATCATCATAGAGCTTGCTGCAAACACTTTGGTTAATCATTCTCACTCGAGCTTCCTGCAGTGTTTTGGCAAGATGACCTAGAAAAAAAATGCAAAAGGTATCGCAGAGGTTAAGGTGGCACAAATTTCTTGTAGAGATACCAATTATCAAAACGAAAGAGAATGAATTCCCACTCAAAATGTACCCAGCTAATGACAGCAGAGTAATTCCCTTCCCTTCAAATGCTGTTTGCCGTTTTCAAATTTTTGAAAGCTGTTGTTCACATTACCCTATAGCCATAGATGTTCCAATGGACCACCTTTCCATTTCCCTAGCCTTTATCCTTATGACCTTATCCTACCAGAAAGTAGTAAAAGTGCCATGCAAATTGTCAGATAAGACTGCACACAGGGTGACTAAATTTGAAAACCAATTCAAATTGTGCATGAAGCTTTTTGTTATTATTGAAACTGTGGCTGTGCTTCAAACAACATCCAAATCCTACAAAATGCAATTTCTATATTGTTTTCCATCCTCTCAGTTCTAGGGAAGCAACTGAGGAATAAAAAAACCCAAAGGACAGTCTGTAACTCACAAATGATACTAAGACTTTAATTCTGTACCCCACAGGCTCCTCTGCCACCCCTCTGAGTGTGCATTTTTTCTGCTTTCCCACTGCAGCTGGTTGCTCCAAGCTACACAGAGGCAGAACTCTTTATGAGGCCTTTGATAAAGACAGAGAAAATGAAAGATCCTCCACATTTTTTTTTGCAATTATTGCTGCTTATGGCTCCATGTTGTCAATCGGAAAATAATTCTTTCTCTGCAATAGTTGCAATAGTTACTGATCTCTTTTCTTGCAAGGTTCAATTCATCAGATTAAATGAGTCATGAACATGAAAATGGGCACATTTTTGTAAACCTATAATAATCATTTGCATTTCAGTGATTTGTGACACCTGAGTATGCATTTTGTCACTTATCACCTGCTATCCAAGCAACCATTCAGAATTCACAGACTGTAGCTAAGGAGATCTTTTCTAGCTTTTTATAGACACACTAAATATACTACATGAAGAGTTTTTTGCTTACAAGTATAAATATTCCATTGTTAGAGTTTCAAACTAAGCCAAACTTGCAAAAAGCATATCCAGGAAATGAACATACTATTTTCTTTTATGGCTCCCCAGCCAGTTACATAGCAGACAGTTCCATAAAGAAACACTCTAGAGGTGCTGGGTAAACAAATGGGCTGTACCAGCTCACTGAAGAGTACAGGTGTCTCCATTTCCAACAGGGCAATGTCATAGTCTGAGATAGATTGGTCATACTGTGGGTGGACAATAATCCTTGTGATTGATCTCATAGCTACACGATTGCTCTTTTCATTAATAGTATGTGAGCCCATATACGCTCTCCATCCCATTGGAACAGAGTATCTGTAAAAAAAAAATGGTTTTAGAACATCCCATTGGAAATCAATGCAATGTTAGCTCACTTTGTTTTAACTACTTTTCAGTATTTGAGGACATTAATCAAAACTAAGTACATGGAGTAGAATATGACTTCAGAAGATAGATGTACTCTAGTCTCCGTCTGCTAAGACATTAAGCAATGTTTTTACTTGCTATTATGAAATGAATTAATTTCTTGGATTTATAAAACCAACTCCTTGCTATGCATCATGCTTTGGAACTCATAAAAGTATATTCTTAAACTCTATCTCCTCCTTAACACACGTAGGAGGTATGCATTTTCAATTTTCACTACCTAAACTGAACATCAATCAGATTTTTGCTCATTGATCAATATATAGGACATGTACTGGGATAAAAGGCCATAGTATTACTCAGAAAACTCCTGCCTTTTGAAAAGAAGGAAAAAAATTAAAAAAGGTGTTTGCCCTACATCTAACAGAACAGTGTTCTGTCATGCAGGATTTACTGGCAATAGAACCAGAGAATAACTTCAAAAACTGAAGACTTGTAAAGCCAGCAGACAACACCAAGTGTTTACATAGTGAGGTCATATCACCAAGTTATTACCTGGATCAACTTATCTAAGCAAGGAATAGCTTCTGCAAATTATTGAAAGTACCACTGTAAGGTTATTAAGCTGCAAATACTCTAGAACAGTATAATTTCCTCATGCCTTGCAGAATCAGAATCCAGGAAGCAATGGGCAGCAGATATGAGCCACTTGCTGGAGATGACAGATGCACCACACACGTGGCCACGTGCCCCCATCTGCAAACTTGCTTGCCAAGGCCACTTCTCAGATCTCGCATCTTCACCTCCAACAATTCTGGTTTCCTTAAGTTGGTGCCTTCCACAAGCTAACAGAAATAATTTAATAAATTAGTAAAAAGCCCACCAGTTAATTCCCTTCGCCATGCTTGGCACAAACTTTTACCTTTAGACCTCACTGTGCAATTGGTAAAAAGGTGAGTGCCCATTTTCACTCAATGGGCAGGTCAGATACAAAGCAGTCATTGTCTATCTTCCTGTGTAGCTTTCTAAAGAGTTGAGTAACTCCAAAAGAGGTTAAGCACAATTTAAAAGTTCATTTGAATCATTCTTGTCACTATTCTCTCCTTACAAACACAGCTTTACTGTATTTCATTCAGCTCAAAAAAGCAGCAAGACCTACCCAGCTTACCCTGAATATGCATTGCATGAAATAAGTCATCATAGACAGAATAGATGAGTTGATTTAAAAGAAAAGTGCAAAATTCAAGACAGACATTGGCATACAGTATTGCCAGGAAATTATTTTTTTCTAAATTCATATTTTATTTAACCAATTCTTAATCCAATAATGCTTTATAATAACACAAATTGCTGATTTAGTTTCCTAAGTAACTAACAAATCTTAAAATAAATGTTACCACAGTTCATTTCATCTGATCCATCTGCACAGTCTCTCTTCCCATCACACTCAGGATTTGGTTTCAGCAAGCACTTTCCATTGAGGCATTTGTATGCATAAGGAGAGCAACTTTTGTAGGCTGAGATAAGAGAGAGAAGATAATGTCACGTGTTTGTAGCCATGATTTCAAATTCTTAACAAAACCTTTCACATTCTGGAAGTTGTTCAAAGCTACACATTCTAGTCTGCTTGAAGAAGTAATCTGTACTGGTGCAAACTGGCCTCTCTATGGAGAGGGGACAGGGGAATGATCCACTCCAATTAATGATCTCACTAATTACAGCCTCCACTGTTCCTGAGAAAAAAGAAGGCACTCCTACTGTCCACACTCCCATTTTACACAACTCTAACTGAGTAAGTGTGGCTTCTCAGATCTGTTCATTTTCCTTCACCAGCACTACTGGTATTACAAATCATAAATCTTCACAGCATCTTTTCATTTTCAAGTGAAACTGAGAAAACTGCAGAAGAGCTTCATACCTCCCTCCAATCAATTTCTGACTAAAGACTATCACAGTTTACTATGTGAGAATCCTGATAGATCTCAGCAATTGGCTTCCATTACTATTATTCTTATTGCCAGTTGTTTACAAGGACCTCTAAACAGTGGGAGGTAGTTTTTTTTCAACAAAGATTTACTCCTGGCTACCCCAAGATTGAAAGCAAGACAAAAATTGCATAAGCAAAATGCAGCAAGTCACTAGGGAGCCATTGGTAGTACCAGCAATGTCCACAACCATTGTGATCTGCAATAAAAAAATAAAAATCAGTGTGGCAAAAGTCCCCAGCCTACTACGTTTCTCTTCCTTAAATTATGTGATACTGATCTGGCAGCATCTGGGGGAAAAGTGCTCTTCCAACAGGATCACCAACAACATGTGGCTTGGTTTTTGTACTAAAATCCTTGTTTTCTTGGATTTTTCTTCATTAATTGTCTAAACTCTCCCCAAACCTAGTTTTACTCTGCATAATTTATGTTCACTCTTATGAAACTTTTACTTTATGCCATGGGAAAAAATATCTAGAAACAACGCATGCAACTGTTAAAATATGCATATTCCTGCTTCTGCTTTCTACCATCTTTTGGAAAATACCTAAAAATACTTACAGCAGTTGTTTTCATCACTGTCCTGCCTGCAGCTGTCATCATCTTTACAAGACTTATGCTGAGGTTTACACTTCCCATCACCACAGTTCAGTTGTTCTGGATTACAACCTGAAGAAAAATGGTCTGTAAATTTCTAATACAAACAGCAGACCAACAGCCACATGCTACCCTCCCTGCTAGAGGTCACCTGGATGTTTCTGAGCCATTTCTGTCAGACATTTATCTACCTTGGTTTTGATAGTATCCAGTGACAGAGAGACTTGTGCTGTATTCTCTGACCTTGGGTTACCTTCTGGTCACTGTTTCTGGCATCTTTTGGATGTTCCCTCTCTTCTTTGACATGTGGTGCCTAATTTAGGTACAGCACTCTAGCTGGTACTAGAGTACTGTAGATCACCCACTGGTAATTTTCAAATCCCTGTCTTACATCCTAGTATGACACCAGACACACTAAAAAAACAAAAACCCAGAACAAAGACAACTAACCAACAAAACAACAAATACAAACAAAACTCACAAAGAGTATTTTGTGACTTCGACTCACAAGTCAGATTTTGAGCAACAATCATCCCCCCCAGCCATGTTTTTTTTTTTTTTCAAAAAAAGCAATTTGGGCAGTCCACATGCTTGTTTAATTATCTCCATTCAGATCTTCACAAAATCACAGAATGTTCTGAGTTGAAAGTGACCCACAAGGATCAACTTCACATTTCAACTCCTGGCCCTGCACAGCACCACCCCTGTTGGAAAGGATGGATAAATATAATTGCCTGGCAAAAGATTTACAATAGTACGGCCAGGATGAAAACAATCCCCCGTACTGGCTGGACAATACCCTTACCTACAGATAAGTCTAAAAGTCAAATATACTGTTCCATCTCAACCCCCAAAATATATGGGGCACCTGTAACCCTCCCCTAAAACATCAAGTGCCTGTAACCCCATTGGCCCAAGCCTTGTTCCAGCCCACCTTGAAGCCCCCTGATAAGGGGTCTCTGAGGGGCTGGATGTTCTCTTGGAACTTCCCCTCTCTTGGATCTTCCCCCCTATTAGAACTTCCACCCTTTCCTAGAGCATCCTCTTGTCTCTCCCCCCCCCACATCCTCTCAAGCCTCTCCACATGCTGCATCTGGCAGCTCCAAGCAAGACCTTTCTCCATCCCTAATAAACCTGATATCCCAAGAGCAGCCTTCAGAGATCTCTCATCTCCATTCATCTAAACCATCCTGGAGCACAGCGTTCCTCACACACCCCCAAGAGTCTCACCCTGTGCTCGAGGTCATTTTCCAAACGCTTCTTGAGCCCTGGCAGCCTTGGGGCTGTGACCACTTCCCTGTTCCAGCGACCAGCCACCCTCTGGGTGAAGAACCTGTTCCTAATATCAAACCTAATCTTCCCCAGACACAACTTCAGGCCATTCCCTCGGGAGTGTCACTGGTCACCAGAGAGCAGAAATCAGAGCTGCCCCTCCCATTCCCCTCAGCAGGAAGCTGGAACTGCAGTGAGGTCTCCCCTCAGTCTCCTCTGCTCCAGGCTGAACAGACCAAGTGACCTCAGCTGCTCCTCCTACAGCTTCCCCTCAAGGCCCTTCACCATCTTTGTTACCCCCCTGTGGACACTTTCTAATAGTTAATTTTTTATTTTGTGTGCCCAAAACTGCCCCCAGGACTCGAGGTGAGGCTGCCCAGAGCAGAGCAGAGCAGGACAATCCCCTCTTGCCTGGTTGGTGATGCTGGGCCTGATGCTCCCAAGGACATGGATGTCCCTCCTGGCTGTCAGAATATGCAGACTCATATCCTTGTTTTTATTTTTCTCCATATATATTCTACAGCCTTTCAGGACCACATTCCTCTTAAATACATCCATCTTTCAATTCTATAACACTTTTCCTATTTCATAAGCATCTACTCTAATCCATAATTTAGATAATGAACAAAAATTATGTGACATTCCGTAACAATACTGGCGGAATGACTTTAAAAATATCCTTCCTCTTTGGCAATGAGTCTTGACCAGTCATTCTATGGAAACAGTTTGCTGTATTTTTTCCTCCCCACATTTTCTTTATGATAAGCTTGTCACATAAAACAGTGTCAAAGTACAATTTATTTATTTATCCTCTCACAGCAGGGAACTAAAACGAAATTTTAAATCTCCATGCTGGTTTTAATATTATTTTCACTATTTACAAACAGCTTACTTTGGCTACTTCTTGTGTATTTTTTTTTTCCTTTGGAAGGTTAACTTATAAAGCTTGGTGTAAAATTCCTTCTTGATTTTTCTGACCTCCCACTCTTTAAAGAGACACATTACACAGCCTCTTTTCCACACTTTTACATCTTCACCCACATATTTCATGTGATCTTAAAGTATGCCAGCAGTAGTTTAGAGATAATTTCAACTCTGTTCTCAACTTTGTGGAAGAAACCATTTACAGAAAACAACAAACAATTGCTGTACCCCAATCCAATTCATCACTACCATGTGGGCAGCCTTTCCAGCATTTGAACTGATTTCTTGAAGGAATGCACATTCTGTCTACATATATAAGGACAAGCTAGAAAAATACTAAATCAATTACACTGGCAATATTGATACAGTCTAAATTAAGTAATGTAGGACTCTACCATGAAGAAATATTAAAATTATTAAAATTAAAGTTTGTGTAAATTGTAAAATAATTTGAATATTAAAAAAAAAATCTTACTTGGCACAATCTGTCAAAGATTTTTATCAAGCAGTCTGAATTAAATGAGTCACCTAAATAGCCTTAGTGAATTGAATTCACATTAATTGCCTCTACTCTAAGGGTTGAAAGTCATTTACCACAGATACATAACTACTTTTAGGAAGCATTTCTTTAATTTGTTAAGGGAATGTATTCAATACATGACCATCTAAGGAAAAGAAAAATAAAAACAAAACTAAGCATTCTCTTTAGTATTCCAAATATGTATTTCCTGATATTAAAATTTTGTAGAAATTAGAAATGAAAATTAGAATTACTAATTAGAAATTAGTACTGCATTAATCTCTGTGTTACTACACTCGATGTCTGATGTGAATAAGTGCTTTATGGAACACTTCCCAAAACTTGCAGTATTGTATGAAACAGCCCTTGACCAAAAATTTCTTTTACATTCACATAAACTATCTACTAGTATAGATGGTAAGTTGTTTCTTTACAAAAAAAGTTTGTTCTCTTTGACTCTTTCAGGTGTGCAAGAAAAATAAAAGTCTCTGAAAGACTAAGTAGCTCAAACCACTCCTCTTTCTGCCCAAGTGAAATAAAATGAACTTTTCTCCCATTTAGCACCATGGGCAGATTAAGAGCTACATAGATAGAAGAACCAAATCCATTTGTCCCACAGTTGTCTAATCAGCTGCAATCTGGAGTAAATTAGTCCTGTTCACTGCCTTGCAGTGATGTCAGTGAGAGGAAAGCACACACCACCCAGCCAGCACAAGCTCCAAGCAGGAGTGTCTGCATTTTCTTGTCACCTCTCTCTGAAGTTATCCAGCTGATGGCATTTGCTTTCCAGGTCAGCTCAGAGCAGAGCCTGTGACATTTAATAGCTGTGCTTTGATGGGCAACCAACAATGGGGAAAAAACTGACCTCAGGTGGCTCACTGCAGGCACTGAAGATGTGGGAAAACATGAATTTAGCTTTTTCCTTCTCCTATTTCTACTGCTGCAGGCTAGGCTGATACAGGCAAGAGCTCTTAATCCATGCTGGAATCTCAGACAGCATTCACCAAACTATTGCATCAACTTAATACTGACACATGACAGCCACTCCACTCCTCCTGATGAGTCTTTATACAGAGCCTCCTGATTGTGACTAAGAACTGATTAAATAACTTGGAGCCATCTGCCTTCTGCCTCAGTGCTAGGAACAGAGCACGCAGATACACAAAATAAAGACTGGATTTTCTCTGTTAAAAAAGGTGCTCCTAGGCTTAGACTCCTAAATATTTTTGAGGCAGAAACCAGAGTAACTAAAAATAGTTGGCAACTTTTTCTGGTAGAAAGAGACCCGCACTGGTGGAAGAAGAAATCCCTGAAAATTTGTTTCTTATAGAATGACTGACCACAAAATGTGCCACTTATTTAGAGTGAAAGGCATGAAACAAAAATCTTCACCAGAAACCTTAATACTTAAATGCTTCTATGTCAACAATGAACAGAACTACATTCTGACAAGCAAGCTGAGGTTTTGAAGAGGCTTCTCAAAATGAACTGATCTCATGAAATCACAGAGAACTTTACCTAGCTAGATGTTAACTGGGTAAAATAATCCGAGATTGCATATTTTTTAAGAAATGTCACAAGTAAATATGTGTATCTCCTGAAAATTCCTGTTCCACCATCTGGAAGACCCTCAAAATCTAACCTTGATCTAGAGGCACATAGACTGGGGATTTAGGAATCCCCAGTCATATTTCTGCAACATCTTCTAGCAAGTGGTCCTCTTTGACTGCCAGTAAAACTTAAATAGTTTGTCTAAACCTGGAAACTCATCTAGATCACATTGAATTATGATTTTAAAGAGAAGATTAAGTATTCATGGTTAACTTTGCTTGGCAAAAGAGTCATGCTTAGAGGCTTTCTGCCATTCTATTTTCGTGTTGTAGCTTGGCTATTTTAAGCTGTCAGCAAAGTGCCATATAACAGATCTACAGAAGCTGAGAAATTTTGCTCCCCATTTTACAGAATTGTTGATAAAAGTTAGAAAATAAGTACTAGCTTCTAAATGCATCTTATGTCTAAATTTGTACCTCTATTTGGTCAACCAAAGACAGAACTTTTTACACTTTTGTCTCCTGCAATAAGGTCAAGAAAATAGCTAGGTTCAGTTGTATACAATCGGTCTGTCAAGCAGGGTTTCGCCTTAAAAATTAAACCGTGTGCTTAACAACTTACGGTCTGTGTGACTGAAAGCTTTGTATTCAATATAAAACCCTCTGTGGGTGACCAGCTCATCAGAATGGAAGTTGATTGCAACAGAATAGCCATATTCTCTGTTCCTGTTGTTTTCTGAAAGAGCTTTACAGTATCTAGCAAGGCAAAAGTGAGAAATATTAATTTCTAACCAAACTGTCCACTACCATCCAGCTATGTCTCATTTTACTGAGTGGTGTCAAAAAGCTTTAAGATAATGCAATAAGGATCAGCTGTATTTTGGTGTTAAAAGCTACACAACAGAAGTTTTAGAAAGCCTAATTATGAATTTCTCCCACTCTGTAACTTCTTTGGGATTAGAGGACTTTGAAACAAAATACAGCAAGATGATCAATATCAGGATCTGCCTTGTAAACACAAACTGCTTCAAGCATGCTTGTTTTCAGATTTCCCATTTAGGTTTGTAAACCCAAAAGTTCCACATCCAGGAAAAGGAAAGGATTAAATAATTCAGCCAAATCCAACAGCTGTTGCTTGTTTCAATATGCTCCTTCCAAGAGACAAATTTCTCTGAATAGCTTTATTTTTAGTGTTCGTGTAACAATGGCAATCATTGAAGAGCAAGTGGTAAAGAAAATTAAACTTCTGATTACACAAACTCTTCACCCACATCAAGACCACAGCCAGGAATTTACAGTTCAGCTGCAGCTGCATAAAATCCTGTCGTTTTCTACATTATTGCTCTAAGGGGAACAAGAGAAAAAGTAAATACCTGTAAGAAAAACAGGATGCCTAAATGTGCAGAACTGCAAAGTGTAAATCAATATGCCAGAAAATAATGTATTTACTCACCTAACTCCATCAATTTCTAGCCAGTCTTTATCACATTTACTGGACCCTGGAGACTTCTCTTGAATTTGTATTACAAGAATTTTTATTGAGAGCTTGTAGCCAGGCAATGGTGCCTAAAAATCAGAAGACAAAAACCCTGATGTGCATTAATAAAATGAATACAGCCTTTGCTTCCATGTTTTTCTGTGTTTTACTGGATTGAGAGTACTGCATTTCTATTATTGAAATTAGCACCTCTGAATAACCAAAAAACTTTGCTAATTTAAACATCTATAGAAGTCTTTTTAGACCCTAGACTGTGCCTGATGAAGGAGTGTAAACCTGTCTGCAGCCAGCATAAAGCACTATATCTGAGGTTCATACTAGATTTGTAATGCCATATGTTCCTCTTCTGCACAGAGGTGAGAGTTTTGTGCTATAAGATGCTAATAATACTGTGAAAGGTAGAGAATTATCAAGTTATATACGTGAAAAGTCTTCTTTACCAGGGAAACTAAAAGAGTAGCTAAATGCTGAATGGAACAATAGACTGACATATTAGGCAGTTGGTAGAAATCATGAGCAGATTTTAAGTCTTGCCAGAGGACTTGCTTGAAATTCAGAGGTGAATTTCTGAGCCAAAGAAGGTCCTGGCTCTGCAGAATTCAGGGAAATACACTGAGGCATGATTTACATGACCACTTTTTTCTTTTTGACATAGAAAAAAAGCTCTGATTATTATTTTTTTTTCTGGCTGCTGGGATTTGTCATCTTACACATTAATTTGTTGCTGTCATAAATAATGCTCAAACTTCTGGAAGTTGGCAATATCTCCCTCCCATAGCTGGCACCTTACATAGGACAGGAAGGAAATGCCTGAGAAGTCAGGTTCAGTGATCTCACTAGGTTTTCTCCATTTCATCCACATCAAAAGCCATTTCTCCCAGTTTTTTGTCTACTTAAGATAAAGAAAACTCATCAGTACTCAGAAGAGTTCCCAGCACATACCTTGATGATCCAGGTGCAGTCGATGTTTGGTGGATAATAACTTGGGTAATAAGGGGAACTCAGTGTCCCATTCCAGGAAATGAAATGACCACCACATACTAGGAGAGAAATACATCAGCAAGGAACACAATTATCTCAGCTGTACAGAAATGCAGAGTTTACTTCTTTTGCTAGAACCCTTCTCTGTGTGTACAGAGTTAGAAGAATACACTTGGACAGTATTCAACTCACATTTTCCCTGTATTAACTGAAAATCACTTAACTTCCACCCCCAAAAAAACCTGAATTTCTCTTTTTTTTTGGATCAAATTACAACTAAGGGTAAGTACAAAGAGACCTCTGATTCAAGTTATTTTTTAAAAAAGCATTTTTTCATGGTAAGTGAAAGAAGCAACCAGATGTGGATGCAACAAACCTCCCCCTTCCAATTTACTTCTGACTTTTCTGTAGGAATATTCAAAATTAAAAAGCAATTAGCCCAGTGAAGTGAAAACAGATTAATTTCATGTAAACAAGGAAGTTTGTATATCAGTTCTCAGTTTGAAAATGCCATATTTGAACAATTCCTTTGAAGTTTTATTTTCTACCAAGGACTCTCTTAGATACCCAGTCCTTAGTGCTTTTGGGTCCCTTTAGGTAACATTGTGAATGCAAATTTGAACATAACATAAGATAATTTTGAAATGAAAAAAAAATCTTGTAGGAAAACCTGGGCTAAATGTAATTTGAAATGCCTATCCTCAGAACAATAAAGCCATTTTAATTAGTAATGTGCATGGGATAAGTATTTGGGTAAGCAGCACGCAGAGAGACATAAGCTGAAACGTGGAAGCTTTGGAGGAATTTGTCCTCAGTGATTTGGTCCACATGTTAAAAATGAGTCCCTTGATTCATTGTCAAAACTCTTTCACTTATACCTTACCAAATAACTGTGGCTAAACTTGACCCTGTCAAACCCCTTTATCTCTTCTAAAATTAATACTAATTAATACTGTAGTAAAATCCATAATACCTCATGTAAAATCCATAGTACCTCATAGGTTTGGAATGTACATCTTAGGTTTGGAACACATTTTTCTTATTCAGTTAACTACACTGAATAATGCATTCAGAAAAAGAACAAAGATAAATTAAAAGTGTTTGCTCTTGTTTTCCATGTTCTTTAAACACATTTTCTATGATCTGCGGATACATTGCCAAAAATGACAAAAGTAGCTGCTCTGGCACTGGGGCTATCTAGCTTTGCCCAGACAGATAATATGTGTGTCTGTCTGTCTGTCTGCTCCTCTGCCACTACTCAGTGTTACCCATGCAATGACCAGCAAGGAAGGCTTGAGTAATTATTGGGAAGACAAAGTCTCCCAGACCAAAGGATGTTCTCTCTTTGTTCAAATCTCAGTCTTCTGTAAAGTGGATCAGAATGATAATTCCCTGTTTTATATGCCACCATTCCCTCCCCCAGATATATTCAAGACAATATCAACTTTTTTAGAGGCAAAACCAGTAATAAGTGTCCTTCCATCAGATGCTACATACTGATTTTAGGAACAGCTTGAAAGTGAGCTTTTAATATATTGCTTTCTCCTCTTTGATCCAGTGAGAAGGTAAGCAACATCACATTACTCGATGAAGTCAAACGCACAACAGAAGGAGTCCAGGCCCCAGGCCCACACCATCTGGAAGATTAAAAAAAAAAAAAAAAAAAAAAAAAAAAAAAAAACAAAAAAAAAAAAAAAAAAAAAAAAAAAAAAAAAAAAAGAGTTAAAAAAAGTAATCCCAAAACATTTCCCACATTTCTGTCATCTTGCTGGGAAACAGGGCAGAAGTAACACTGATCTGGGCATCTGTGTTTTAGAAGCATTCCCTTGGCTACCACTTCCCTTTTAGTTCTTATTTTTTTATTTTTATATTTATTTATTTCCCTTTTATTATAACACAGGATGCTAGGGCTTCCCAGCATTGAGGTTAGTCATTCTGCATGTACATCACTGTTTTCTTGCTCAACAAGTGCCCTGGAGTTTTCATACCTATAGAAGCATCAGAAAGGCAATGCCAGATTATGTTACTTCAGTGGTGATAGTGGCACTGAGAAGCAGAGGTTAGGAATGAAAAGGCAGCAAGTGCCAGTGCAGCATCTGTGCAACAGATAAACCCAAAACATTTTCAATCTATCCACATTCAGCCTGGTTTTGTGTCATAAAAGCTATCACACCCCATGCTTGGTAGCTATTACTTCCTGTTGCTCTTTTACTTGTGAGATGATATTTCTGGCATCTGCAGTTCACTCTTATGCTTATTCCATTTTGCAACCCACATCATATACCTTTTAGGAATATGATATTTGAGACTTTTTTTTTTCATTCATTTATAGCTCAATGATCCTTGTGAGTCACTTCACTCAGAATATTCTGTCATATCTGTGAACCTATATGTTAAAAATTTCCAACAGGTTTCTCTTTTTCCATGCACTCAAATTAAAGCAATTAAGATTAGACCTCACAGTAACAGATTATTTCCATCACAGCCCTGCATCAAGTTCTTTGATGTCACTGAGATCCAGATTGGCAGCTTCAAAATCAAATGTTTTAACCTTAAATTGAAAGTAGTTGTCTGCTGCTTTAGCAGGCTATTCCTTTTATGTGTTTGAAGTGAGCCACTAGTGAATGAATCTCTGCTTTGCCTCTCCTGCAGACATTATTAAATCCTTCTTATCATAATAGCTGACAAAGCATTTATAAAATAACAACATAAGTCCTCTCTCCATGTGGAAATATTTCAGCATCTTCCTCAACCCAGTCAACAGCCTGGCATATCTTCTCTCTGTGCCTTCTGTCATGATATCATCAGAAAAGCAAGGCAAGCTGAGAGAAGAGTTGTCCACGTGAGATGCTTACTCTCACAGCACACCTCACCATCTCAGCTGGAACAGATTTTAGGATTTGTCACTGAACAGATGTATTACTGCAGTTTACAGAAACTGGAGAGAATCAGTTCAGTCACCATACGTGACCCTAGACCTCAACATCAGGAAATAATAGCTGCCACAGTTACTGGCTGTCATAGATATTGGACATACTTATTAGTTCTACTGTATCCATCTTAAATATGTCACTAGGCTGCTTTTGACCCAAGCACAAAACTAACAGACCTATGCAAAACAATGCATTTTCTAGGGTGGCAGTAAAAGCAACCAAAAAAATCAGGTTTTTTTTTGAGGTACCATCAGGTTTTTAAGAAAATTTCAGTCATACAATTCTGTTTTGGTTCTTTAATAGACAGACATCAATGAACATTCTTGTATTTCATCTCGCAGCTTACTGCATCAATGTTCTTTAAATGTGTTACATCAGACACCTGTGTTGGTCTTGCTGTCTTCCAGGTGTCTTCATGCTCATGGCCAGCTTTACATTTATGGGTCCTAAAAAGCTGAGCCAGTGGTAAAAATGCACAATGGAGTAACAGGCACAGCAATAATCCATAATAAGTAGCAGAACAGATGCAGGCCCACATCAGGAATGGGATTCTCCTGAATATTAAGCTACAGTTTGAGCATAAATCCTTACAAAACTGCCTACTAAACTGTTAAGCTACAGTCTGAGAGTAGCCCCTGACAAAAAAAACCTCGTGTCCATTCCATGCCACAATGGCAATCTGTTATGTCTTGTTGCACAGGGAGTAATTAATACATTAATAGAGCTGAAGAGGACCACCTACTCAATTAAGTTAAAGCACTCCTAAACAAGTGCATTTCAGATTCCTAGCTGAATCTTCATGCCCAGCTAACCTCTACCTAAAAGTTCCTAAAAATTAAGTAAAGTTCCCCTCTTGAAACCATCCATCCTCAGATCCTACAGCTTGTTTATTTATTTGGTTGAGGAAGACAGATTCCTTGTTTGTGGAATCTGTGCTCAGACATGAAATTTGACTCTGAAAAGTAGGAGCAGTGTAGCCACTCAAATACCATCTGAACTCACTTATTTAGATAGACTACACAGTGATTCTGAGGATGGAGCCTTCCAACCTCCTATTATGAACAGGAATTCAGCTGTGACTGGGCTGCCGTAAAACATACGTTTTCTGAAAGTAATAGAATATAACACTCTAAAATAAAGTCTCTATCTTTTTGAGTTGTGAGAGTAATTTTATGGAAAAGAACACATTAGAATTAGTCATAGTGCAGAATAAACCCCACAGAAATTTATAACATGTTCCCTAGGGAAGGGGTCATGACACAAAGCCTGTCAGAGTTCAAGGAACATCTGGACAATGCTCTTAATCAGATGGTTTGGTTTTAGGTAGTCCTCTGAAGAGCAGGGAGGTGGACTTGAAAAACCTTATCAATCCCTTTCAATTGTTTTAGAAGATCTTTTCATCATGCTATCCAAGATTTTTAATTAAGTTGTGTTTCAAACATCACATTTTATACATCTGGTACAGTTTCAGAGAGCTTCTGTACAGCTCAGTAAAGCATCTTTGCTCTGTATCTTACCTGGTGATGATCTTGTTCTTCAGTGGAAGAAGGAAATCATATGCTGACAAGTGGTGTGATGCACAGCTCTCTGGAGTGACACCATGCTGAGTGATAACTACCAGTCTCACCACGTAATTAGAAGGAACTCTCAGTCTCCATTGATAAAAAGACTTTTTGGGATTCATCAGAGTTAGAGTCCTGTTGTTACCTGGCTTGGCATACAGGTCAAAGGATACTGCTACAAAAAAGTGTAGATCAGGATGGAGAAACTGTTAGATTGAAAGGCAAGTTCTTGGGTAGGATTTCAGACAAGGTAGAAACAATTATCTACCCACATTTCTTGATTCCACTAGTCCCTTTTTGCTCTTAGGTTTACAGCTCTGTTCCCTTTTCAGACTGCATCAGCTTCTCCTGCTCTGGCCAAGGGAGTACAAAGCCTCACCACCACGAGCAGGAGCTGATTCAGATGCAATTGCAACAATATCTGCCTCACACCTACTGCTTCCTTTGCCATTTTCTCTTCCTTCTCCATGCAATGAGAACAGTAAGTACATGAAGACAAATCTCGAGATGCGCTCGATATGAAGAAATCAGGCAAAGTGAATTAAAACTCTACATTATCTGACTGATCACTAATAACATACAACCAAAATTGCCTAATCACAAGCCAAATTATGTACAGTTTTTCATTTTTTTTGAGGTTTTGTTGGGTGTTTTTTTGCTTTCTTTTCTTTTTTTGTTTTAAGAAATGGCAAAAATAGGAGCCACAGCTCACTGCATTTCAGTGGGAACTAGTAAATTTTCAAACATTCTAGTCAGAATATCAGAATGAGGTATTTTCATCCAGCCTTCATTTGAAGCACAAGACATGGAGATTCCATGGCCTAGTTTAGTTCATATGCTCTACAGACATAACAATAACTCAAAAAATGCCATTTTTCTGTCACAGATTTCCACTACCCATCAAAGTAGTATCACTTAGGATTGAAGTATAATTACCTGATCTTAACATCATATCATATTCTGTGGAATCTGAAACTGAAATGTAATAATTATCAGCTACACAAGACAAAGACATGAAGTGGAGAAAGAAAAATAGACAGAATAGGTATTAAATGACAGGTACATTGTTACCAAAAAGCTCCATTGTAACAAGATCAAAATCTTCCTGCACAGAACTGAACAAGGGAATTGCTTGTTTACTACAGATTTCTTTTTGTTTCACTAGGGTTAATTTTTTAAGAGAAGCAACCATATCTTGTGGTGCCCAGAATGTATTCCAGAAGTAAGCTCGTAGCCCAGATTCTCCTTCACTGTGAAAGGAAAAAAAATTCACTATAAATACAGTCTAATAACTATTTTGATTTTCACTGGTCTGCATTTTCAGCTGGCACAGTTTCATAGCCAGCCGAACTTCTGTGCCCAATAGTTGCTGCTAAACATGGTGACAAAAAGCTCTCTTGTTTAACAATTATTTTTGCTGTATTTTTATACAGTAGAACTATTTTTGACATATGCAGCTTAACCAGCTACACACTGAGACTGAAAACCACACCTTGAAATCCTTCAATAGTTTTTATGAAATTGGATGTTATCATCCCTGCTGTATAATTATACACTTTTAAGATCATACAACAGCTCCATACACATTGCAATTCATTTTTAATGGAAGTAGCACCATACAACAGCACAATTTCATGCTCCTACTTTGATACATCATTTCACACAATTTTTTGTTGAAATAAAGAATCCTTGAGCATAGACATACAAGTTATTACTTCAGTGATTTCACCACAATCCTTCTGAAATTGCCTGTGCACTGACCCTTCAGGATTTTCAGAAACTACCAGGATTGTAATAACCTGCTGCTCAATGGATTTACATTTCTTACCAGGAGCTCAAATAGTATTTTGCCCCAAATCACACATTTAAGGATTTGTTTTCAGACATTAAAAAAGAATTTCATTTGAATGGACAAAACCAAAATAAGACACTGCAAGTGCTGAATTGTTATTTCAAAAATTAAAAGTAGATTAATAGACAACAAAACAACCCATAGACTCAGGAACAATTAATCAGACTTCATTTCTTTCACCAATTCTACAGGGCAGGACAGAAGTCACACTATTAGCTTAGATCATATACTTAAATGCATTTCTGCATTTTTAATTCTCTTACAAAGATGTGCATTTTCTTCCAGATTGCAAATTTAAAATGCATTAAAGAAAAAGGGGAAAACACAGCTGAATAGCTCAAATTTCCACCATATGCTGACACAACACCTACCTGAAAGCAGCCACTACAGACTTCAAGTAGTACTTTCCCAAGAAGGAAGATTCATATGTTTCTGCCAACTGATAATGAAATAGTAGCAAAAGAAAATGTAAAATTATATTTTAGTGCCAGAATAACTTCTAATACTATAAAGTGCTTGTCTTTTCATTCCTTCCTCTTCCTCACTGCCCTCCCCCAAATTACAAGAACTGGCCATAATTTTCACAAAATGTATCAAATAAGGATCATAAATGTGCATTAAACACCACTAAAAATTTGCTTTTTCACATCACATTCAAGGCCATTGAGACAGTTCTTGATAATTAGCTGTGAAGAAAGTCTTTATGAATACATTTATATTTTTGTTTCAGTCTTTGAACTTCTAGTATCACCAACTTGTACTGGCTGTGCACAGAGCAGCTTTGAGACACCAGATTAGTTCTTTTGAGAAATACAAGCTAACAGAGAAGAGCTTTGTCTTCAAAACTGCTGTCCACATGTACCTAGGAAACAGCACTGATCTCACAAATAGAAACTCATAAGAAGGGCAAGAAAGCAAGCACTGTTGTGAGTGATAAGGAAAATTTTAAAAAGTGAAGCATTGATTTGGATGTGAAAGTAAAAAGAAAAAGGAAAACGTAGAAGGAAGAGAGTATGAATAAAGTAAAATAAAACAAAACCCACTCTCCTATTTCCTTCAAGACAAGTGATTTGTCCATAATCCTGAAACCTTATTACCTAGAAAATATTGACCTTACTCTAAGACACACAGCCCCATTGGTCTAGCTGTATTTCTAAATCTGAAAACTGCCAAGGCTCTTCCTAGCTTTAAACTTACTATTTCCAAGGGAAATAAAAAATGGCTAACCCGAGTCCTCTCCTCATTCCCAACTGCTTCTGTATAAACACAAAATATTGCCCTACTTATGTGGAAACTTACATAATTTTGGATTGCCTTTGCTTGCAGGATGAACTTCTGTGATGTTGGATCATTGAGGTCATTTGTATAAGTCAAATTAGGAATTTCTACACTTCCACTGATATAAATAAAGGAAAATGCTGGAGCTGAGAGGAAAAAAAAAAAAAAAGATAAAAAATTACCACACCTAATAACATTACAGAGCAGGACACTTGCAGAAGTATGTGCTTGTCCTTGGCATTTGCAGATATTAGCTCTTAAGAGAAACATGCAGTAATAACTAGAGCACTGAGTCAGTCCCACTGACAGAGTAATGCCCAGCAGGAAAAGAAAGGAAGGAGAATAAAGGCTTAGGCAGGCATTTCTACTAGGAAGATTTCATTGTTAAGCTTCCAATATTTTTGCAGTACTCTCCTCCTGAAGAAACATGGCTTTAACAGCTATGTGTTGACATTTGGGGAAGTACATAAACAATTTAGGTACCCATTCTGTTTTTAAAAAAATAAAAGTGAAGAGAAAATAAACAAATAATTCCTATATGTTCCTGCAAAAGATAACACTTAATACCAATAATGATGGTATTCATGAACAGTGACAAAAAATAATTAACGATAAAATGCCTATTCTTGTACAACTACTCACTGGTAAATACTGTGCATTTTGTTGCTTTAGCAAAGACATTAAGGAGAAGGGAAAGTCAGTAGTTTATATACACACATTATGTGCTCAGCTGCTTAGTTCAGAGCTTTTCACAGTGCAAAACATCCATCCCACCCAGACCATGCTGGGGAGCAACACTTACACAGTGAGTAGTGCAGGAGCAGCACAATTGCTGTCACTGTTAAAGAAACTGTAGGTAATATTCCTAGAAGACATCTCCTCCAAAAACACAGCTTCACCCATTTGTAGAAACGATTCATCCTACCTTCTTGGTAGGATGGGCAGTCAGAAACACACAGACTTTCCTAGAGAAAGACCATGGATGGCATCAGTTAGTAAGAAAAAAAGAAGAGATGTTGTATCATATTTTGGTGTATTTACTCTCATAGTTTTAAAGAAATTAAAACTGAGATAAGATCTTTCACGTTATCAGCTAGGGCACACATAAAACCCTCACCTCTCTGGGCTATTTCCTTCTTGTATGCATTTCAAGCTGTGAAAGTGGGATGGTGGTGGGGGGGGATTTTTACCACTTTAGTTAAAAGCAATTTATGAAGAACAGGGATATTGTAAGTGCAGGCAAAATTTAATGGGAAGAAATGATGTTGTTTGACTTAATTCAGAAGGCTGCATTTTTTTAAAAATAATTGTGTTAAAATATATTAATATGTTATATAAAAGGAGGATATTAAAACTACATACTATTTTTTCTGACTCTAACACAACGCGTGACCCTCTCTCGAGTCTAGACACAGGTGGGTTGGATTGGCCACCAGGCTCAAACAATCTTCACCAGAATCCAACCAAGCACTCCAGGTAAACAATTCTCCAAACACATTCTACATGGGAAAAACAAGGAGCAGAAACAGAAATTGTTTTCTCTTTCATTTCTCTCTGTGCACCTCGATGAAAAATCCTGAGAGTGAGAGAAATGTGCTTACCACACAGGGGTCAGCGCAGGCAGGAGTAGACAGAGATAATTTATTTACTGATTTCTACTACAAAGTTTAGCTGGTGGCTCTTACCTGCCCTGCAGCACCTGGAGCTGGAATGCTGTACACAGAAATCCGGCCGGAGGGGAATGCCTGCAGCATGATGCTGTGACAAATGCCTTTTGACAAAGCTTGCAACAACTCCCTAAATGAACCCTGTTTCTCCCCCCTGCACACACACTTCTCTTATTTCACCTCTACCACACTGCTTGAATGGGGAGCCAGCTGATGTGCAGTCAAAGAAGGTGGGCAGGGAAATGATCATCCCTGTAACTCTTTGTTCACCCGAGTGGCTCAGTAGGATACGGATCCCATCATTTGAAAGTAGATCACTTTTAGAAATATGACAGTAAGGAAATAATTTCTGACACAATGCGAAGGATATGCAAAATTAAATAAAAGGTCCCAGGACAAAATAAATGAGGCAAATTCTAATAAACACCCTGGGGAATTTATCGAAATATCTGTAACAGAGGAGAAGGGCTCAGTTCCACATATCACCTTAGTTTTCCAGCTTCAAGACTGTACCACAGAATAAATGTGGTAAGTAAATTGCAAACCAATTTATGTTCACATTTCCTGTTTGAAAGAAAAAGCAAGTTTAAGTCAGCAAACCATCAAGTTCAGCATATTCTGCATGCAAAATAAGAAAATCAAGGATGTGTGTGGGGAAATAATATATTTGTTACATGTTGAAGGAGACAGAGAGGAAAAAAAAGAGAATCTAGAAAAACAAAAGGAGAGGAAGTAATCTCAGCCGCAGAAAAATAATACAAAGGGAACAAACAAATCCCAACAGTTCACACAGAGATTGCAAAAGAGATTAACTGGAAGACAATCCTCACAGCTCAGAAATTCAAACTACAGCTGCAGACAGATGGCTTTTTTTAAGTCCTCTGTTTTTCAACCTGTCTCTGCTACACATACAGAACCTGCTGATAGACACTTTGCCCCTTCCTTCATGGAAAAGAGAAAAAAAAAAAAAAACAAATAAAAAGGCCTAGAGTAAACAAACTTATGATATAAAAATTATATCGTGACCTTTTAGAAACACCAGTTTTATTTCATCAAGGACAAGAGCATTGCAATAACACACATCACCATGTTTATGCATCTTGATAAGGCTGCCTGAAGCTCAAGAATTCAAATTCTTAGGTAGATGAACTTGAAAACGAAGAAATGAAAGCAGGAAATAAAAGTTAGCAGCTCCATATCATGCAGTTAATTAAAATGAAAGCAAGAAAAGGAGTAAGCATGCAACAAATCACTTATAGCAGCAGAATTTCTGATCTTCAAAATTTAGGGCCCTATGGATTTGAAAGGATTGCATTCACTTTTTACAGGGTCTCATCTCCCTTTCTCCCTGTCAGCAGGGAAAGCAGTATTTGCCAGAGTGCAAACAGCTCACTGCTACTTCTGTATTGGCTGCACACATCTCAGAAGAAAAGATGAGCAAGTCTCAAGCTTTCTGTTTACACAATCAATTGTATCTTCAGCTTCCTGACAGGTGAGTGCACCTGCACTTAGTTGGTGCCTTGAAAATTCAGTTGATTATTGCACCTCCCCCCATGTCTCCAGATATCCGTGTGGAACAACTATCACAAGGAACAACCTCCTCCTTTTTCATCAAAGCTCAAAACACTGATATTTATTACCCCCATATGAGAATTCCAGAATCAGCAAGAGATTCCACAAAGAATCAAAAAATGCAAGGAAATTCCACAACTGAACAGTTTCTCCAAATATGACTTTAATGAAGATGTCCAGGTCACATTTTATCCCAAGAAAACAGTTTTCAAGTTACAAGACTGAAGGCACGTATTTGTGTATCCATGGTGCAAAATTTGACACTCTTGTGTAGACACCTGGGAAATTTGGTCTTCCACATCCATAACCCCAGCTCACAATGCCAGTCAAAAACCATTTTCCATCTCCATTGCTTTGACATGACAGTGGTCCACCAGAATCACCCTAAAAATAATGCATCAAATTATATATGTTTACAATATGAATTATGAAAGCTGGGGAAAAATCCACAGGAGATATTTTGCATAATTTCAGTGATTATATTTTCATATTCACATAGTTCAAACAATTGAGAGATTTTTTTTTTCAAGTAGATGGTATTGCACAATTTTATCAAAGTTTGCTCTTTCACAAGAGAGAAGGTAATTCTCACTCTTTAAAGATGCTAATAAATATATTACTTTGCATGGACTATATTTGAAATTCACTTTTTTTTCCCTAACTTCACACTTACAGCTAAACCCCAGATCTGCTACTTAACATGTATATACATTCATAGGTTACACACTAAAACTCAAAAATAGTAAGCTTTTAAAAATATTTGAAAATAAGATAAATACAATAAAGTATTTAATAATTGTATGACTTATTTTTTTTTTTTTTTTATTTTTTTTTTTTTTTTTTGGGGGGGGGTTTTTTTTTTTTTTTTTTTTTGTTTTTTTTTTTTTTTTTTGGGGGGGGGTTTTTTTTTTTTTTTTTTTTT